GCGGAGGAAATCGGAGGGGTAGACGAACCATGAGAGACGATAGACTCTGAAAAACAAACTGAGGGTTCTGGAGGGGAGGGGGGTGGGAGGATGGGTTAGCCTGGTGGTGGGTATTGAGGAGGGCACATTCTGCATGGAGCACTGGGTGTTGTGCACAAACAATGAATCATGGAACACTTCATCTAAAACTAATGATGTAATGTATGGGGATTAACATAAGAATAAAAAAAAAAAAGATTTCTGTCACAAGGTTATAGTGGGGGAAGACATGAGCTAATGAATATAAAGTGCTCAGTGGCTGGCACAGAGTTGGTCTTCTGTAGAGTGTAATGCTATTCCTAGCTATAAATGAAGTTTAGACACCAGTCCTGAGTTAGACTGCTCATTTGCCTTACCTCTGGTCTCCATAACCATAGGTTCCCTGAAGCTTTCCGGAAAATGGAGAGGTGGCTCACCCATGTCTATGTTCCAGGAACCCCACAATTATTTAGGAAGACTGAGGCCAGTTGTTGTGTCTTAGGAAATAGAAGAAAAAGCTAAGGAAAGAGACCAGAGGAGCTCCTCAAGTAATAGAGCCATGGTACCCTAGTGGGAACCAGACAGACATGCTTGGGTTCAAATCCAGGCTCCAGCACTAACCATGTAACCCTGACATTTGGCAAGTCCATTAACTTCTCTGAGCCCCAGTTTCCTCATCTCTAGAATGGGGATAGTAATACCTTGAATACCAGTTCTTGAAATTATAACAGGAATTTATCGACAAAGTGGAATTTGAGGTCTGCAGCTCTCCTCACTGCTCAGATATCCTCTTTCAAACACCTGGAGTCTTGGGGCGCCTGGGTGACTCACTTGTTAAGCGTCTGCCTTGGGCTCAGGTCATGATCCCAGGGTCCTGGGATCGAGCCCCGCATCGAGCCCCGCATCGGGCCCCGCATCGGGCTCCCTGCTCTGCGGGAAGCCTGCTTCTCCCTCTCCCACTCCCCCTGCTTGTGTTCCCTCTCTCGCTGTGTCTCTCTCTGTCAAATAAATAAATAAAATCTTAAAAAAAAAAAAAAACTGCTTTTCAAACACCTGGAGTCTTTTTGAGTTCCCTTTTTTTTTTTTTTTAAAGATTTTACCTATCTGACAGAGACACACAGAAAGAGGGAACACAAGCAGGGGGAGCGGGAAAGGGAGAAGCAGGCTTCCCGCGGAGCAGGGAGCCCGATGCGGGGCTCGATCCCAGGACCCTGGGATCATGACCTGAGCCGAAGGCAGACGCCTAACGACTGAGCCACCCAGGCGCCCCTATAAGTTCCCATTTTAATGGAAAAATCTCCATTGCTGTCTGCCACAGAGGATTTTAGGAGTATTCAGTAATTCTGGGGGCGAGTGAGTGGGTGGCTCAGTTGGTTAAACGTCTGCCTTCAGCTCAGGTATGATCCCAGGGTCCAGGGATCGAGCCCTGTGTCAGGCTCCCTGCTAAGTGGGGAGCCTGCTTCTCCCTCTTATCCCTGCTTGTGCTCTCTCTTGCTATCTCTGTCTCTCTCAAATAAATAAAATCTTAAAAAAAAAAAAAGGAGTATTCAGTAATTCTGCTCTCCTTCAGGAAAGAAAATGAAGGCTAGGTTGGCTCTGCCCTATGTCCATGCACATCTAGATGGGAGATTTCTGCTCAGAGCTGCAGAATGCTCTGATGGACCCTGTGTCTTTTGGCTAGCTCCATTTCAAGATGCCAAACTGGAGTTGTACATAGGAAAAACTGGAAGAGGTTTGTGGGCAAAATAGCGACCAGTTTTCTTTGTAAGATCTATGCTTTATACTAGAAATCACATTTCAGAAATTGCTGGAAGGAACTTTTGAGATCTATTTTAAAAATGGAAATGGAGGCCCAGAGAACTTAAAAATGATTAGCCTACATAAATGGCAGAACCAGGAGCCTAGATTTCCTCCTTTGCCCAAGGAAGACTAAGAATACATTCCAGTTAGCAAGTTCTATACAGTTTCCAAAATAAATGACCAATGTGTCTATCACCTCTTCTAAGAGGTCACCCAACACTCTGAAGGATGCTTCCCTTATTTCTTTCTGCTGTGTATATCAAGAGTGAGTTTCACTGAATGAGATGGGGCCACAGAGGGGAGTTCACAAGATGGTTTGGTAATGTGAGGACTGCCACCTGTTTTCGCTGGAAGGGGATACCATCCTACCTGTTCATTCACTGACTTATCAGCAAGGGAAGCAATGATGCTGATGACCTCTCCCTTTCAAGCATATTATAATTTGTAAAGAACAGTCATGTCCATCTCCTTACTTGCCTTCCTTCCCAGTTCTGAGAAGGTATCTTGAGTAGGATTAATTCCCAGTTACTGAGGTTCAAAGCTAAAAAGTGAATTGCCAGCTTTCTAAAGAGCACTGTAATAATAATTTTAAAAAGTCAAAAACAATAGCATCTTTTCCTCATTTGGAACTTTTTCTCCAAGAAATTTTGAACATGTCATCCTTATACTTTTTTTCCCTAAAATCTTGAATGTTACCTCTTCAGAAAGGCCTTTCCTGTCCACATAATACTAAGAGCTAACATTCACATTGTACTCACTTTGCACATATCGTTTAAGCCCTTTCTATATACTAACTCTATTAAACCTCAGTACAAGCCTCTAAGGTAAGTGTTATTCTTATCATCTGCATACAATATGATGACAGTTGTTATCTCCACATTGAAGCAGAGAAAACTGGAGCACAGAAAGGACAAATAACTTTGCCGAAGTCACACTGTGGGTAATAGAGCCTGAACTTGAACTCTGGCCATCTGGTGCTAGAGTTTGCACTTTACCTCTACTACATTGCCAACCTAAAGTAGGCCTCTTCCACTCCATTTTTCTTACAGTACTCCTTCTTTCCCTTTTAGGCACTAATCACACTTTGCAGTTAGGATTTTCTCATTTATATGTATTTTGTTAGTTTCTGTCAGATTGTAAGCTCCATGAGGGCAAGGATCATATCTGTCTCATTCACATTGTAAGTGCTATATAACTATTTGTTGAATAAATGAAGAAGTGTATGTTTGTGGGCATCATTAATTCTGCAGCAAACTTTTCAAAATTAATTTTAGGGGTGCCTGGCTGGCTCAGTCTATAGAGCATTTGATCCTTGATCTTGGGGTTGTGGGTTCAAGCCCCATGTTGGGTGTAGAGATCACTTAAAAATAAAATCTTCAAACAAAATAAAAAAAATTAATTTTGGGGTGCCTGGGTGGCTCAGTCTGTTGGGAGTCTGACTCTTGATTTCTGCTGTGGTTGTGATCTCAGGGTCATGAGATTGAGATTTTAAAGATTTTATTTATTTATTATTTATGAGACTTAAAAGATTTTATTTTAAAGTAATCTCCACACCCAATGTGGGGCTCGAATTCACAACCCAGAGATCAAGAGTTGCATGCTCCACTCACTGAGCCAGCCAGGCACTCCCCAAAATGCACTTTAGAGCAAGAGGATCCAGGCCAGGGTCACTTGAACAACAAATATTCTTAAGCACTTGCTACTATTGGATTATATAAGTCTCCTGACTGGTCTCTCATCTGCAACCATTGCCTAATAGAGTCTCATACAGCAGCCGGAGTGATCCTTTTTAAAATGAGTTACACAAGTTACTCCTCTGCTCAAAACCCTGCAGTAACTCCCCATTAGATTAAAAGTAAAGACGTTCTTTTCTCTCATCCCTTCTCCTCTTGCTCCAGTCACACTAATCTTGCCATTTCCAAGATTCCATTTAGATATGCTTCCATTTTAGGGCCTCTGTGTCAGCCTCTTCCCTCTGATTGCCCTCAAGCATCTGTATGGCTAACTCCCCTACCTCTTTATTGGTTCTTAGAAATGCATCACGCCATCTCCCTTACACCGCTGCTTTTTTCCTTCTCTCTAGCACTTACCACTTCCTAATATGCTAAACAGTTATTATTTTATGTTCTGCCTCTTCTTCTAGAATGTAGTTACAGATTGAGGAGAGGGATCTTTGTCTATTTTGCTTGCTAAATATCCTAAGTGCCTACAACTGTACCTGGCATATAGTTGGTGTTCAATAAATAGCCGTTAAATGAACGACTGTTGAAGTTATATTAAGTGACAGGTCCTGTTTTTTTGTTTTTTGCACTGGGGGTAGAACAAAACACTCCCTGCCCTCATGAGACTCACACTGAAGCATATTTAAACCAGGTAGACCCATGTTCTGGTCTCTGCTCCCCTGCCTAGTTCCTGTGAGTTAGGGGGCAAGTTACTTAACCTCTCTGAACCTTGCTTTCCTATCAATTGTTATGAGGATTAAACGGAAAAACAGCATTTATATAGCATTTAGTATAAGAAATCCTTAATCATTGAGTCCCTTCCTTCCGGGGCTGCAAGATTGGTAGCCTGATGTCTCTGCCACAAGCTTAAGCAAGGTTTTCACAAGGACTTGAAAAGGTGTGAACAGGTTAACTACGGCCAGGCTTACTCAATTTTTAACTGAAGATGTTCTGGTGAGAGAATGCTTAAAAGGGTCGAAGTGAGAAACCAAGAAATGGCTAGGGTCATCTACTTTGTTTTTTTGCATCGGAAAAGCCTCGCTGGGCCCACAGAAGTCAAAGTCTAAAGGAAGGGAAGGGGAGAAAAAGTGGGGTAACTGGCCACTACTGAAAACTACAAATCCCAGTACCCCCCGCGGCAGAAAACTACAGGTCCCAGCAGGTTTCACAGCCTGGACCAGGGGTGCCTCTAGGGACCCGCAGCCTGGGTTCAGCCGGAGAGAACGTGGGGCGTGCGAAGGCAGCGGGGAGAATCGGGTCAAGTTTTACGCCGCTGCGCAGACGCCTCTCACGGGCCGGACGTGACGTAGGAAGAGTTCCGGCTTCGGCCTCCGCCGCTGCCGCCGCCGCTACTAGAGCCGCCGCCGCTGCCGCCGAAGCCGTCGGGGCTTGGTATTTCTAAAATGGCGCCCCTAGACTTGGACAAGTATGTGGAGATAGCGCGGCTGTGCAAGTACCTACCGGAGAACGACCTGAAGGTGAGCCCGGCTGGGGCGGGAGCGCTGCTTGCGGGGCTCGCCCCTTCCGGCAGTGGGGCGCCCGCCGGCCCGCCCTTCCTCTCTGCGCCGGACCCCCGCCGGCATCCCGTCCGGTCCGGTCCTGGTGGTGGGCCTAACGCGGGGCGAAGCGACCCGGTCCGACCAGGCGTGACGCGCAGAGCGGGGGAAGCTCGAGTCTCCCGAATGCTCTCCCGGTTGCCTCCGTGGGGTCGCGAGGGATGTCGCGGCCTCTGCCCCAAGGTTGCCCCTCCTGGCCTTTGGGCTACCCCAGGGCTCCGAGCCCTGACAGCTTTGCGTGGAAGACTCCTCTCCGCTCACCCCGACCCCGGTCTCCCGGAGCCCGGCCGAGCCCCAGCGGACAGTGCCCTCGGGATGGGATCATCCCGCAGAGGTGGTGACAGGAGCTCTGGGTGGCCGGCGTCTGACAGGAGATGCCGCCAGCTCCCGGGACGCGGCCCCAGTGTGTTTAGGTCCCTGCGGAAGGGGAAGACGGTGGGCCGGAGCGGTCTGGTAGTGATGTCAGAGAACGGCTGGTCGTCCCTCCTTCCGTACGCCTCGTCTCAATTGCTTGTTAGGAGTGTTGCTTTAGTTCTGTTAATTCAGATATGAACCCATTTTCCGGTACGTTGTTGAGCTAATTTCAGTGGATAAAGTAGTAGGGCCTCAATACAAATACTTTTCTGCGTGAGCGGTGGCTGCCTCTTAAGTTGTTTCCTCATAATCCCTTCTTGACTGAAGATTTCCTTTTCTTGGTTTCCCAGAGGAGATGAGTTGTTCCTCGCTACTGCCTAGTGCAAGTAACAATAAATGTATGTGTGGATAAAGGAATGAATGTAAGAGAAAAGGAATGTAAGTTTTTGGTATCTTGCTTTTCTGAGAAGTGTTTTCATGCACAGCGCTTAGGTGACAGTGTTCAGCGGATAGTGCCAGTGCCTGTTTGTTCAGTTAACTTTGATTTGCTGTGTGGTAAGTGGGTAAACTGTTGGTAGTTTTGAGTTTTTTGTTTTTTTTTCCTTTACTTTATGGATGTAAAGCAATTTATCTTTGTAGATTTCTCTTAAGGAAGAGATTACTGGTTTTTTCTTTTGCTCTGTTCATACAGGAAGTTGATATTTAACATCAGTCAACAAGTATGCAAAATGTTTAAGGTCACACCAGCTCTCATGGATGTAACTTCATTGTACTTACATGTTAATTACATGTGCTCTACGATAGGGGAGTCATTCTTGTGCATTTCCTTTATTTATTTATTTATTTATTTATTTATTTATTTATTTATTTATTTAAAGATTTTATTTATTTGACAGAGAGACGCAGCGAGAGAGGGAACACAAGCAGGGGGATCGGGAGAGGGAGAAGCAGGCCCCCCGCCTCGCAGGGAGCCCAACGCGGGGCTCGATTTCAGGACCCGGGGATCATGACCTGAGCCGAAGGCAGACGCCTAACGACTGAGCCTAACGACTGAGCCACCCAGGCGCCCTGCATTTTTCCCTTTTAAATAGGATACTTTGATTAAAATGAGGACAAAGCCAATACTAGCAGTGTAGCTTTTATTTATGTTCATCTGCGTCCTTCAGACATTTTGTGGCTTCCTTCTGTTTAAATGCTTTTTAAAGGAACCAAGGATACAACCAACATTGGGACCTAATTCGTGGAAAACTAACCAGCTATCTTTTGGTAGCATTGTTAATTCCATAGATCAAGTTGATTTTCTCGTATCAGTGATTGGATGTGGAATTTTCTGGTTTTTTTTAGCACGTGTAAAGCTGTTTTGAGCTTTGTTTTTAATGAATAAAATGTTGCTTATTATTACAGTGTGTCTTGATAATAACTTGCGATTGGCTATATGATTTGGAAGATAATCAGTTGGGTTTTCTTTAGATCTCTTAGTTTGATAAACATTAGATTTCCTTCCCACCTTAAGGAAATAGAGGTATTAAACCATTTCATTTCCCTTTGCAAACCTATTGGGCTGTACTTAGTGTATATCTGTTTCTTTCTTTTTTTTTTTTTTAAGATTTTATTTATTTATTTGAAAGAGAGAGAATGAGGGAGAACACATGAGAGGGGGGAGGGTCAGAGGGAGAAGCAGACTCCCTGCCAAGCAGGGAGCCCGACGCGGGACTCGATCCTGGGACTCCAGGATCATGACCTGAGCCAAAGGCAGTTGCTTAACCAACTGAGCCACCCAGGCGCCCAGTGTATATCTGTTTCTTAATAAACTTTCTTTTTTTCAATCTTCTAGCAACTACTGGGAAAAAATAATTATGAATATTTCTCTATAAGTGGATGCTTTTCTTTGTTTTGGAAGTGGTTTTATTGGATGAATTTAGTTGTGCTGTTCATGTCTGGTGTATTTTAAAAGAAATTTAATTTTGTTTCTACTTCTTGGCATGAAATGGAAACTAAAATTAGACAAGCCAAGTATTCCAGGAGCACCTTTTCTGAGGCTTTAGAGCCAAAATAAAAGATTAGAGGAAAAAAATCATTGGAGCCACTTAATGATCATTATGGAAAAGATTTGTTCTGGTTAGAAAAGAAGACAGCAATTCACCTCTGTGTTTAATTTGACTAGAAGTTGGAGGTACTAAATAAAATAATAAGTGCATAGGATGTTCTACATCTAATTATGATTTCTCTATATCTAAATTGGAAGTGGTCAGATCATTAGTACTGGATTGAATCTGCATAACTGTTCTGTAGGAATAAAGATGAAATATATGAGAGTGGGCCAAAACAAAACATTTCTTAAAGAGCTCAAGTGGTTCTCATCCACAATTAAGATTTCAGAGAGAGTAATAGGAGATAGAGATTCCATATCTGGCCAAGTGGAAGAATGAATGATAAAAGGCGGGTGTACTGAATACTTCAGAATTTCAGAGGAGGAAGGGTTCTATAACTTGGGGATTGTTTGATCTCTTGGACAGTTCTTAAAGGTGGCATGTAGTTAAAGAGATTGCATAAGGAATTGTGCAATTCCGTAATAACCACTTTTATGAATTAATAGTTAATGTAATCTTTTTGGAACTCACTTTTATGTTTAGTCTGAGCCATCTCTGAGTTCTTCATATAAGGCTACTTGCTCAGCAAAGTTATACCTTTACTTGAAATGCCTCCATAAAGCTTCAAAAAATTCTCCTTTGCTTTTTTCTGAGATTTAGTGAATAGCCTTTTGCACCTCCTCATTCCAGACACTGATTTTATAGATTCTCATCATATATGGTAGTCTTTATCCTTCCGGATTTGCAATCTGTTAATCTAGTCACTCATCTTAGTGCTTGTTTCATTGATTGTTCCATTTACCCAAGTTGTTTGGTTTTTTGTTGTATCTTTTTCAGGTACTGCAGGGAAAACTGAACACGGTGTGGTAGTTAGGGACATACTAGAGCATTATATAGGGCTGGAAGAGTGTTGTGTTTCCAAGACCCTTTCTGATAATACCTGGCATTTTGTTTGTCTTTTGGGCCACAGAATCACATTCCCCTATGTTTTATGAAAACAGTCTACAACAGTGCTGTCTGGTAGAAATGAAATGCTCAGAAACATGAGCCTTGAATGGTCACATTTAAAAAAAATAGAAAGGAACAGTTGAAATTAATTTTAGTAGTATTTTATTTAACTCAATTGCAACATGTAATCAATATAAAATTATTAATGTAATATTTTGCCCTTTTTTGAGTACTCTCTGTGAAATGTGTATATTTTGCATTTATGACACATCCCAATTTGGACTAGCCACATTTCAGGTGCTCAGTAGTTATGTGTGGCTATGGGTGTTCTGTGGGAAGATACACATCTCTAATGACTCCCTAGTCCCTTTTCTAGAATTTCAGAGCTAAGAGAGAATCAGAGTTCTTCTAGTTCCATACCCTTCTTACTTTACTGAGGGTATACTGAACTTCATTCATAGAGTTTATGATCTGCCCGAGGATGTGCACCTAATCAATGAATGAAGTTGGAAATCTTCCTGTGCAGAGCTCTTAATGACACAATTAATAGCTTTTTTTTTTTTTTTTTTTTTTTTAGGATGACAAGTAGCATGCTTTTCTAGGTACATCTTCCACTTCATCACGTTTCTTTTTTTTTTTTCATCAAGTTTCTTTTTACCTTCCATTCTAAGCACATTGGACTGCCCTCTTCTGACAATATGCTCTATACTTTCTCCATCTTTGTTTCTTGCTCAGTCTGTTTCTGTCACCTAGTATTTTTAATACTTACATAGCACAAATAATAAATCATTTAATAATCTATGAGTTGGCTACTAATATTTGCCCCATTGATAGATAGGTAACTGAAGCACAGACAGATTATAAGTATCTTTACGTGGTTATACAGCTAGTAAGTAAGTGGAGGAGCTGGGATTCAAACTTAGGTAGTCTGGGTCCAGGGTTCACATCTATAACTACCATTTGTGTTTCCTCTATACAATATCCTCCATGTCCCTTTTGAGCTCTGCCTCAGATGCCACCTTCTCCATGCAGGGCTCCTGGATTCCACGGCCAGAATTATTAGCAATGATTAGAATGTACAATAGCTGCTTACAGTTTTCAGAGTACCTTCATGTCCATTCTGTCATTTACACAATCCTTGTGTAAGGCAGAACAAATATCAGAGCAGGACTTGAGGTTTATTTGGGTTTTGCCACAGTGACTCAGTGGAGTATATACCTGCATTTATTTGCTATTGAAAATTCCCACTTTTGGGGCACCTGGGTGGCTCAGTTGGTTAAGTGTCCAACTCTTGATCTCAGCTCAGGTCTTGATCTCAGGGTGGTGAGTTCAAGCCCCTGGTTGGGCTCCATGCTGGGCGTGGAGCCTACTTAAAAAAAAAAAAATTCCCTTTTTTTTTTTCTGTACTGACCTTTGCCCCATAGCACCTTATTGCTCCTTTTACCACTCTGTGTTGTTATGATAGCAAATATGTCTGTCTCTACCATTAGACTACAAACATCTTGAGGGCCAGGATCATATTTGTTTATTTTTGTGTTCTCCATAGTCTTAGAACACTGTCTTGTATGTGATAGACAAACAGTTAAGGTTTGTTGAATCTAATTGTATACTGTTTTGCAACAAACATTTCTTCAGATGTCTCCTTTTGTCAAGTACTGTTCCCTATGGGTGCTAGAGATAGAATCTGGTACTTCTTTATGAGGGGCTCTCAATATAGTAAAGGAGATAGAGAGGTAAACAAATGATTGTTGCATGGTGTGTTAGTTGCTATAACAGAGGGCTGTTCAGGATATTGGGGAACATATTAAAAGCATCTAACTGGAACTAGAGATGGTTTCACCAAGGAGGAACAATGAGAGGATGAGCAGCGTGTGTTCAGGTAGACAAAACAGGAAGGAAAGAAATGTGCTAGCAGAATAAATACCATATGCAATCGTATAACTTAATCTGAAAGAACATGGCTGGTTCAAGTAGTTTGGTATGGCTGGAGGTGGTGCTGGGAAGGCAGG